TACTGGGTTTTTTTTGCGCAAAACTGTTGTTATTCTTTTGCTTGTTCTTTTACTTATCGATTAGGCAGCTTGAATAATGAAGAGAGATAAAGTTAATCGATGGTTGGAAAAATATGCATACTATCATGGTTTTATTTTTATTTTTCTTCCTATCGTTGCACAGGATAGGTATAATATACAGGCTTCACAAGCAATATTACACTGATTTATATCATCGATCCTGTTAAAACTGAGATTAACGGTCCCTTCTACCTATAACAGAAGATATTGGTTTCTACTGCCATTTTTGGAAGCATTTCTTGTCCATACACATATTCCTCCTCAAAAATCGACATTTGGATGAAGTCTCATCATTGGGATCGTTTATGATCCTCGCAGTAACTGGGAAGTCACTTTTGACAGTTGCCTTGGATACCATCGTCGTGTGTATCCTTACTTTGATTCAGATTTCTTTTTCGGTCGTTATTTTCCTTTAAGTTGCAGTTGAAATCATCATTCTGTTATTTGTCTTGGTGGGAAGTCAGCTTTCGACACAACTTACATTCTCAAACGACAGAATAAGTTACATTATCTATTTCGAGCTTAATATCAAGATCTGTCAGATCAGTTCTATTTAATAATAGCTCTGTCAAGCCAAAATTGTCGTTCAATTATTACTCATTGTTCTGTACCATTCCAAAGCTTGTCATGTAGCAGTAGTCATCTTTATAACACTTGCGTTCGATATTTGTCCTCAGTTGGCATCTTAACTTTAGAATGTATTGCCAGTTCGACCATATTCTTAACTAGGGTGGCAACTTCGAACTAAACTACAATACTCATTGCAGACGTACTTTGAGACCATTGCTTTCGGTAGGCTTTGGTAATTGCATCCGATGGTTCATCGAATTTCTGTAAAAATCGCTTCAGACGATTACGATTCTGTTTTTTGCCACGAATTCTATCTTACAAGTGAACATTCACAACTGATAAACACCATTCAAGACCGTGTTTCGCTGGCGGCTGAAGATCGTCATGTATGCAAATTACGAAAAAGGATCCGTGCCATTACTATTAGTTTCAGAGCGAAGAAAAGGAAAAAGTATCATGATAAATAGTGCCACTTTCCTGTTTCATTTATATCTTTTTTGTCATAAGTTAACTAAGACATGCATTTTTATACTGAAAATTTGATCACTAACTTATCTTTTTTGCATTATTTACTCTTAAATTTTTTAGTTAAATCTGGTTTTGTGCCCAATAAAGAGACAATATTTTATTTCCAATTTTTTATAGACATTTTTATTATTTCCAAGGTCAAGCCCAATGAAGATTGCTATCGCCTTCTTTAATTTCATGCAGCGGAAACGAAAATTAAAATGAAAAAAATAGTTGTAGAATTTTTCTTTTCACAAATAACTGGAGAAGTATATAAAAAAAACAAGTGCTAAAGCTTGTCAGCGCAGCTCCTTTCGAGCTGAAATATGGAACTCGCGTATGTGATTTCGAGTTGTTATCCTAATGCATTATTTCTAAACTGAAAAATAGTTTTCTTTTCGAATAATTATGAATGCATTAGAAAATTGTATAGGATCTGAATTGTGTACGGTTGCTGAGGTCTGGAATAGTGGGCTGTCTGTAATGGGGTTGGAGGAGGAGAGCCAGAAAACCTTGGGCTTAAAACTTACACTGACTATTTTTTTCGAAAATATACGTGAGTTCCACAATAAAATAAACGTTCCAAGGAAGGTATCGATTAACGTGTTATATGAATGATATTTTTGAAAATAGATGTATGAAAAAAAACTTCAACATCAAAAATAAAAACTTTTCAAACGGAGTAAGATACACCAAGGGTGTTCTGCTTCCTGCAGTGTAATGAATGATACTATTTTTGACGACAATGCATAATATTTTGTTTGTTTGTGATAAAAGAATAATTAACAAAACTTCAGTTTTGTCTCGTTTGCAAGCAAAGTTAAGTTCAACTTGGAATCCATGAATCAATAGTCATATACACGATAATTGAGTAATTAAGTTTTAAAAGGCAAAAGAAATATTTACTAACTTAAACGAGAGGCGATAAACAAACTCCAGACGTTGTCTGTCACGATCCGAGAGGAGAAAGGGAGGTAGATCTAATTTTCTACCCCTAAAGAATTCAACATTCGTTTCAAATCTTATTTGACAAAATTGATTCTTCCATGAGGAAGCTTCAAGCTTTTAAGAAAGTCCGTGAAATGATCGAGTACCGTGGCAGATATCGAAGTACTGGATAAAATCTTGATTTTTGTTTTTATGTTCTCATTTTGTTTAGCATCATCTAAAACCTTGAAATCCAAACTTTTAGAGCATTTGATTGAGCCATTGAAAAGTTAGCTCGATTGCACCTGTCGGGGGAGGGGGTAAGAGCCCTGGTTGAGGAAAACCATAAAAAATCCTGCATAGAAAGTTAAGATTCTTTTAGATGACAATAATTTAATGAAATTTTTCGTGTAATATACCACAAGATACAGCTTCGAACGCTGAACAAAATCATCTTTTAATTTGTTAGGTTTCCATGGACTAATCGAGAGTTATCCATGAAATACTACTATCTGATTCATTATTTTCGAATGAAAAAATGAGTCGGTTTTTGAGCAATATATTACACTGTATTAGCTCCCATTTAGTCATTTTAAGAGATCTCACGCTGAATCTTTTACATGTTGTACAATTTTGTTCCTCTACAAAAAGGTTATAAAAAAATTAAAAAATTTCGAACGATATCCAAAAATGACTTACAAGGTTGATCAACTAGACAGTGTCTATGAGGAAAAATTATTATGAATATTTTTCTGGAAAAAAAAAAGTTTAAGAAGACTATGATGTATCTAAAGTATTTTTTACACAAGTACAATATATTTCAATGAACATATAGTCTCTATAAACTGTTGAATTGTCATTTATTTTAATTTATGAAGGTAAAATGGGTTACCGTTAGCTAATCTTATATAAGCATCATGTTATGCAAAAGAGCTGAAAACACTTTACAAGCCGATTAACGTTTATTTATACTTTCCTGGAAGTTTAAGTATTATTCAAATAGTTGTACACTTACTTCATACAAGACACAGGATTGTTGGCCACGTTTAAGGAAAACCTTATCCGCGTTTCTCCTCTTCGGCACGTTGAGCCCATTCTGCTTGAAGAGGAGGGACATTATTCGGAAAATCCGTGTCCATTGGTATGTTCATACAGGGATAATTTGGTAAACCCATACCCATTTATTTAGAATGATTTAGACCTAATCCGGTAGGCCTGATTCTATTTTATATTTTGTTTGGTTCTCCTTAATGTTAGAGGAGCGGTTGTAGCTGGGGAATTCATCAAAAGATATGATGGAAGTACCACTTTAGCATCCATACTAAAGCTTTCTAGCATTCCGATCTCTTGTGGAGCAATGTCAATATCTTGAAAATCGTGGTCTAATGTTTCAAATTCTGAGTCAATTTCCTCGTTCTCAGTATCATTACTAAATAGTATTTTTGATGAATTTCTCTTCAATGACGATTTTACTACTTGACAAATTTTGAGTGGCAATTCCCTATCGTTAGCGTTTTAGTTGACAGAAAATTGAGCAAACTTGATTTTCATTGTAAACTTTGATAATCGAAAAGTATAACTTGCCGTTTTCTTTCACGGTCTTCACATTTAACACAATCTGTTTGGGTTTCCCATGTTTCAAACTGGGAACGCGTTCATCAGATTTTTTTGGAGGTACCCACTCTGTTTATCTGAAAAATGTATGTTCGGTTTACGTATTGGCAAAGCCCAAACTTGAGGCAGAGAATTCGTTTCAGGTGTGGGTGTCTTTGCATTATGAGGGCATCCACAAAAACCCACACCCCCATCACACACACACACCTCACACCAACACTTCACACTCATACCCACATCTAAACCTCACACCCACCGATGTCTGTTTCGTTCTAAAATGACAACACCTTCTTGCTGTTTTAATTGTTGCAAAGCAAATCGTTTTAAAATATTTAAGACACTTTTAATGGAATTTGAGAAGGCATCCACTGCCGACGGCTATTATGATCGAACCAAGACTATTTGTAGATAAATCGGGGCTGTAAGTTTTCCCAAGAAAAAAGGTTTATAGTCATATGGTCTCTTTCGACAATTTAGATGGACTGGATTTTAACACTGATAAGACTTGCACCCATTACTTATTTCAACCCAGTTATTCGTAAGGTATACCAATAAGCCAAATTATATCTTCAGCTCACATCTTTAGATGTTCAAAATATGATTCCGGCTGACGTCATTGCATATGGCAATTGTCTCTATAACTCTATCAAATGTTTCACTGAGGATGCAGTTTTAACATCTTGCGAATGCGAACTGAGAGGTAGGTACTTCCAACTTTACTATCCAGTTATCTTAATATAATCTTTTTAGTTTAAACCAGAGATGTGCGGGGCATTGATTTTTCATGCCCCGCGGGACCCGCTCCGTAAAATGCACAAACCCGTTACGCCGGAACCTCGTGGATATTCTTTATGAGAATCCTCGCCTCGCCTGTACACCGGCAAATCTATGTCCGCTCCGCCCGTATCCCTCACAGTCAGCTTCTTGGACCGACCATCCCGACTCGCCATTTTTGCGACGGGTCCCGTCCCGCTCCCGTGTAACCCGAAGAAATTTTTTATTTATCAAATACTTTATTTTTAATAATATATTCCTTCTGTAAATAATCAATTTTTACAAAAAAGAAACTTAAGTAGAGTCTACGTGTGGGTCTTCAAATAAGCTGCAGTCGATCGAATAAGTATAATATCATTAACTGTAGATGGATTAATATTGGTTCTTCTCTGTGATACGACAATACCAGCTGAACTGAATGCACGTTCTACTGCAGCTTAAGACGCAGGAATAGAAAAAATTTGTTTTGCTAATCGTGACATATTGGGTAGTACATGTTCTTGTTCTTTCCAAAACAACAATGGATTGTTAATATCATCATTTAAACATTAACAATTAGTTAAATTCAGTTGTAAATAGATTTCTAATTCACGACGAGCACGTTTTGCAATTGTCATATTACTACTTGTTTCACCTAAATCTGTGTCATCATGAAATTGTGTTGTGTAGGACTTCAACTTTTTGCGAGGTGGTGGTGTTGAACTAATAGTTGCTGAAGATAATACTTCTTCATTATTATCAATCTGTGCCATTTTCATAAGTTTAGCTACTCTAGCTCGCACTAGACAATATGCATGTGCACGTTCAACATCAGTAGCATGTTTAAGCATTCTTCTATGTGGATTGAGTATTGCAGCGATCCAATATAGATCGTGCAAAGAGAACATTGCTTTTAATAATTGTCGTGCATGTCTTTTAAAAAGGACAACATCTGTAAAAAAAATAGATTTTTACTCACTTGTTTTTTAAAGAATGATTTACCTTGGGCTGCTTTATCAGCTACTTCATCCTTCGTCACTACCAGACTTTCGAGAAGATACCAGTAAGATGTAACTACTAGATGGAGAGATGATGTATTAGTCGCTTGTAAACGTTCGATCACCTCTTTCCATGGTAAGAATAAACCATTAATAGTAGCTACAGTTGACACATCAATTGTAGGGAGAGTGTGAAGGGCACCCTCCTCACTTGCAATACTTGTTAAAGCTGAATATGAAGACAGAATACTTTCGAGCAATTGTGACATTGTGAGCCATCGAACAATTATTGCTTGTTTGATCGTTGACTTGCTTAATGTTTCCAGCTTAGGATGCCAATTAACCTAAATGAAATACGGATGAAAGCTCTTAAGAAAAATATATTTGTCATTAGATAAAATTGAAAATACCCTTTTTACATAGCAACATAATTGTTTACAACGAACTATTGTTGCTAGCACTTGAGCAGCATAAGGTGGTAGATTTTTTTTCTAATACATTAACATGATCACGTTCAGGGATGATGATAAACTTCTCAAAGCTAATTCAACAGATTTTTCATCAAGAACAATATTATCATCTGTTTCACTTTCACTTGAATCCCTATCATCATAATACGTAAGACAGACATTATCATCATCATTTGAATTATTCCAATTGAATTGATCATTATTTTGATTCTTTTTCAATGATTCTTTTCTTTGTTTTCTCTGTTTCTTTTCTTTAGTACCTGCACTGTAAAATGTTCGTTTTAAGACATTATTCAGTCTATAAGGAAAACAATGAACCACTTGATAATCTTCCAATGCTTTTATCAGATTACTACCACGATCACAAACAAAAGTTATTTTATCCATTAACTGATCAAGTCCAAAACGAGAAAGAGCACCCGTAATTGACTAGTAAATGAGATCAACAAAAATAAAAGAAAAAAAAAATAGAAACATAACATTAGTTTCAATATTGCTTCAAACCTTTAATACGTTCCCTGCTGTTTTATCTATTTCATTATATGGTTCACAACAAAGATCAATAGAATGTAAAATATGCTGATCATCAACAAAATGAGCAGTTAGTCCAAGATAGCTGTTTTGTTTGACTTTTTCACTTCATAAATCTGAACTTATAGCTAAACATTCTTGTTTGGCCCCTTTTCTCAAAATAACGCCTTGATGTTCACGAATATCATTTGCTTGTCGCTTAATTTCTCTCGTAATTGTCGATCTTGATGGTAATATATCATTACCATATATATTATTAAATAGACCTAATAGAAAAAAAATAGAGTAATGAATATCGATTCAAGATTTTAATAAATGTCTCACCACCATCCCAGCTAAGATATTGTTGGATAATATTTAAAAAACCTTCATCTTCAACAATACTGATAGGACGGATACTTTGACATATCCATAGTGCAATTAACGATGTTAACGTCTTTTTCTTTTCAGAAGAAAATCGATTTATTTTCGAATTCAAGGATGGTGATTTAGTACTAAAAATATAGAAAAAATAGATCACATAAAAAGATGATAATTAAAATACCTAGGTGATGTAGATATTGATGATAATTCTTTGACACATTTGTGAGAATTTAGTGATTTGGTTGATCCATATGTAAATACATAAGTTGCATAACAAGATCGACATGTTGCAAAATTTTTAATAACAATATTACGATTATTTTCATCTTTTACAACAGGAAGAGCAAATCGATTCCAACAGGGAGATGGTTTTGCATGATTCACTTTGTGATTGTCGACAAGCACGTATTTTTCTGGTTGCTTTTTAACAATATTTTTATATTTGATGGATTATATTTAACATTACTCGATGAGTATTGACCAAGAGATGAAGAAATGATTGAAAATGAACGATCAGTATTCAAAGTTGTACTATCAAGTGATTCATCAAGAGACAAATGATGTAATTCGATCATAGTAATTGATAAAAGAAAATTCAAATATTAATTCTAAATATAAAATAAGTATTAGTCCAGTTATTCACTTAATATAAATTAATAGTGGAAACTGTGCACGACAGACGATAAAGATAGAAAGAAACAAATAGCAGACAAGCTTATACATAATAGGATGAAAGCAATGAACCAATCAATATGTACTTTGTACTATATATACCTACACTAACAACATCTCTTGATAAGTTTAACGATTCTTCATCACACCCGAAAAAAAAAGTTTACCCGCCCGAGACCCCTATCATTTTAAAAATTTGTTCCCCGCCTCGCCCACCTGTGTGCCGGAAAATACCCGTGCCCTGTTAATCCCGCATTTAATTAAATTTTTCTTCCCCGCCCGCCCGCCGCCACGTGGCCCCGTGGACCGCACATCTCTGGTTTAAGCTGTAATAGAACTCGTAAAAAATGAAACTCTTTACAGCAATCACCTTGCATATATTGTTGGACCACTCAATGAGGTGATAAAAAATGTCACCCATAATTTTTCATTCTCGGAACTCTATGAAATCGCAGCCTTAAGCAATGTCCTTCAATGCAATATACGAATTATATATTCGAGAATTGATTTTCGAATCGATCTAGACATCATGAATAGTACTTTTCAGCATATTCAATCCAGTATTTCATCTAAAACAATTTATATATTCTGGTCCCATACTCAAAATGAAACAGAAGCACGTAGAAGTAATGCTGGTAATTGGACACCTAATCATTTCGTACCACTTTTACTTCCGTCGAGCGAATCTCAGAATCAAAATAGCCTGACTGAACCTAAAGCCGCCGGTTCAGGCTTGGTGAGTTCAATCTTTTAGTGCAGAGCTTTTTACAGAAAAAAATACACTTTCACTTACAGACGCCAACTAAATCAACAACGAAGAATAACATACTAACTCAAGTTTGCATTCCTGAATTTAATGCGGAGGATGACGAAAGTCAACAATTTCAAATGCCATCGACGTATTCCACGATAAACCAGGAAGCCACAACAACTCCTCGGACTAAACGAAGACTACAAGCAAGTGAGACTCACACGAACACGGAGAACACGAATATTGACAAAAGACGACTGCAAGCTTGTCAAAGGATGACTGCAAAATGAGCTCAAGCTACATCGAAGGAAGCTGAAAGACAGCGGATGGTTGTAATGGAAAGAAGTGCCGTCAGAAGAGCTGCCTTTACACCAGAACAAGCTGAATGAGAGCGTACCCTTGTGCGAGAAAGAAGTGCAGCTAGAAGAGCTGCCTTAACACCAGAACAAGTTGATCGAGAACGTACTGTGGCCCGAGACAGAAGCTCAGCTAGAAGAGCTGCTTTAACATTGAAAGAAATCGAAAAACAACGAGAGCAAGTTCGTGAGAAAGTTGTAGCATGGAGAGCTGCTCTTACACCGAAAGAAACCCAGCTACAACAAACACTTGCTACTGAACGAACTAGGAGTAAACGAGCTACAACGTCGCCAAACGAAGTTGAAGAACAGCGCGTGGTAGCTCGCAAAAGAAGTACCGCAAGACGAGCGCCTTACACACCTGATGAACTCCAACGTCTGCGCGCATCTGTTCGTCAGAGAAAGCGCCTTCGAAAAAGTGATAGGCACCAACAAGAAAGTAACGACTTTGAATGGCCAAAAACTATTGATATTGAACGTAAGAAAAACTGTTTAAAGAACTTTATTCAACATATGTCAATGAATTCTCTGCAAGAAGATGTTTGTAGTATTTGTAACGTTCATTGCTATAAACGTGATCTCCGCCGCATACCGTTCAGTAATATACCGTCTACTGAATTACTGAAAGTACCCGATGATTTTTATGGCATAATTTCGGGAATGCAGAAAACGCACCCATTCTAGTCACATGATAATCTTAACATGAGTGACGGCCTTGCCATGGATTTGATCCAGATAGAAAAACCAGGAGGTTGGTCTTGCTAATACGTAAACTGACACCTCATGCCCTTAAAATCGGTAAGAAATTGACGATTGATTGAGATTTATCAAAACGATAATCGTGACCTAAATCGCGATAAAATCACCGATTTTTCTTGATTATTTCGCCGATTTTGGTGAGAAATCATGACTTCATAGCCTGTTTTAATCCTTTATTTGTTGATATTCTATATGATTTCACAAATATGCATACCTGGTTTTTCTTCTCATATTCGAAACTTGTTATTACTTATTTAATTTGGCAAAATATTTCTATTTAAAAATTGAACGCTAACATTATTTTGCACAGGTTTATTACGTAATAAAAACAAAAATTACACCGCGCTATGTAGTTTTTATTGAATTTTTCTTAAGAGAGATTCTCTACGTAGTTTATTTGTTTATTATAAACTCAAAATCTAAAAAAAGGAATATAAATAAAAGTTCTAAACAACAACAATAGAATTACATAGTATACATGAACAAATTCTAAAAAAAAATACTTTAGGTAAAACATTAAAATAAATGGTCTAATGTCGAAATATACCTTTTAACAAGAATCAATGTAAAAGATTTTAACTTCAAGCTTTTCTTAACATTGTCCAATCTTATTTATGTTACAGTACTCTGAAAACAAAAAAGGGTTTCATGCATATCACAAAAGCCTTTTTTAGTTTCGTACAAAACCTTTTTTGTTTTCAGTGTAGTGAGATTTATATCGAAATGAAATTTCTCTTATGACTTCAAATCTTCATAACTATACTACATAACTGTGTCGAAATCGTATTTCGATTCTCAGTTTGATAAAGTCTGAAAATTTCCTTGAATTAAATCATAAAACGTACTCAGTTATCGAAATCGGCTATTAAACGTGATTTTATTGCTCCGATTTATCAACGATTTTCAAAAATGCGTTCTTCTCTTGTAATCACGATAAAATCCGTTATAATCATCCATTTTTTTAAAGAAACACGATTCATCGCGATTTACCGCCAAATTTTCGATAAATCGCTAAAATCACGGTGATTTTTACGACACGGGACAGTCAATCATGTTTTTTTTTAATTTCAGATACAAATGCTCAATCAACAATGAATAAAGAGTCGTTTACTTGTGTAAACGGTGTCGTTTTTTTACACAGCAGGATTGCATAAAACTGTTGAGAGAAAAAGACAATATTCGGTTCACTGTGATATTTGTTCGGAGTGTTGGTCGTCTCGAACAAAAGAGAAATACCGAAACTTTCGCCTGCCAACAAAATATGAGTTGGAGATGGCCCAGAAGAACTACAAGGACTAACAATTCATGAGGAAAAACTGATCGCTCTTTAGCGGCACAATGGCTGCATTGTCAAGTTACATTCGTCTTTTCATTCGACAAGTACAGCTCAGTCAGCTTTAAGAAGGAATTGCATAAGTTTTCCCCAAGATGTTATTAACATAGCTACTACCTTACCACTAGATTTAGATGATCTATGTGATTCTCTAAAGATAATCTTTGTTGGATGTCGTCCTCATCAACGAAACCAATTAAAAAATGTTTTGACCGTTCGAAAAAAGAAAGTTTTCGAAGTACTTCAATGGCTTAGACAGAATAATGCTCTATATCGTAATGTTACAATTAATCAATTAATAATCAGCAAATTACCTGAAGATGATGTACCGGAGTGTTTATGGGCAACCATGGAAGTTTCTACTAATGTAGAAGCAGCTGAAAATGAAAGAGCAAGTTACCTTCCTGATCCGTTGACCAATGCATCTGAATTTAACAATACAACAGCTATACCTATAATCTCAAGGTAAGACAAAGAGACATGTTGATATTTTGGTACTAATATTGTTTATGTTATAGTGCTGTGTTAGATATCAATAGTACCAAAGTGTCGTCTGATGAAGTTGCTGAACATCTTTTAGAACGAATCAAAGCACAAGTGCCAGAAAAAACACACGGAAAAGACACCGAGCAAAACTCTAAACAAGACACTGTATACATAATTCCTCGTGGCAACAAACCGGCCAATGAATATTCTAATCCAAATCTTTTATTAGGAATCTTTCCTACCCTATTCCCATATGAATGTGGTGGGCTTGAGGATGGTTCTCGACCGATTCAAATCAATTTTCGTGAGAATCTCAGATATCTTCTTTCGTATGCAGATCGCCGCTTTGAAGAACACTATTCATTTATATTCGTTGTCTTCAATATTTTACAATGCCGAACAGCATGTTTCCACGCCCAATTAATGATAACAAGATCGTGGTTTCAACAATCTGCACAAGTTCTTAACTCATTGAGTTCTGAAGATGTAGCAGCAGCCCTTATTAATATCTCAAAAGCGCCTTATTGAAAAGTTACTGACGAGAGAATAAATACATTGATGAAACATATCAAAATTATTGGTGGTCATGTCATGGGCTCAGCTCATTCACGATCAGCTCTTCGGACGAAAATTCATTCTTTGTGTTTTTATCTTGGCCTTCCTAGCCTTTTCCTCACAATCAATCCGGCCGACATCCATAGTCCAGTGGCACTTTACTTTGGAGGGGTCGATCTCGATCTTGATAACGTTCTGCCAGAAGTCCTGCGTACAAGTTATGAGCGTGCTCAAATTGTCGCGACGCACCCTGTTGCAGCTGCAAAGTTCTTCAACTGTTTAATAAAAAGCATTTTGAAAAGCCTACTATTGGGCGGTGTACTTGGTCCTTCAAAAGCGTATTTCGGCACTGTAGAGAGTCAAGGAAGAGGATCGCTCCATTTACATCTCTTGATTTGGCTCAATCATGAATATACTCCAGCACAATTGAAAGAAAATATTCAAAATCAAGATTTTCGTGAAAATTTACTAAAATATTTAGAAGATATTATAAAAGAAGATTTAGATTCGTTTCGAGGTAATATATTTAACATTGTTCGAATCTGTCATTTGAAGTTGTTACATTTGCCTACTTGATGCTGTTTTACACCGTAATAGTGCATCACTGCCTTACCTTGAACTTGAGCTTTCAGAACATTTTAAAAATTTTCATTAATCCAACGCATACTTCATTCCGATTACTTATTCTTACTATATATTTATGAGACTTCTATTTTTTGTACTTTTGAATATCAATATTCTTTTTTAAGATGAAACCAACGACGGAACAAGTACGACAAGCGATGATAGAACATTAATTGGTGAGCTTTGACGCTTTTAGTAGATCTTTAATTATAATTCTCACTTCATCTTAGGAGAAATTGGATCGACAGCAAGTGAAGTTATACCACCATGTCTCCCAACACCAAATCCTGCATCGGAAGACTTCGATCAAACGTTTCGCAAAGATGTAGTTCAATTGGTCGAAACCTGCAATATTCACAAGCATTCTGCAACTTGCTATAAATATTCTAAAGGCAAAAATGATAGTTCAAAAAGGTGTCGAATGGGCATGCCACGCGCACTAGTGAATGTTTCTAATATTAACCTTACAACAGGTCAGATAACTATGCGTCGATTACATCCGTGGATCAATAACTTTAATGAATGGTTTTTAAGTGCATGCCGATCGAATATGGACATTAAATTCATCTGGAGTGGTAACGACGCCAAAGCATTAGTCTACTATATAACTGATTATGTAACAATGTCTACTCTGGCCTTCCACGATATGTTTGCACTTGCACAACAAGGTATCAAATCTATTGAGCAGGAACGAACTTCTAATACCACAGATAATATCGTTGACAAATCGCGTAAACTAGTGTTGCGCTGCTTCAATATGATTGCTTCACAACAAGAAGTTTCAGGTGTTCAAGTTGCATCATATCTGATGAACTATGGTGACCACTACACTACACATACGTTCAAAAATCTTTTTCTTATTTCAATCGAAACCTATCTACAAACAGAACTAAATAAAGCACGAATTAACAAAAAAGAAATTGTTGAAGAGAGAATAGATGGTAGAACTTTTTAAAATAATTGTATAGATTTTTAACATGTTGTTTTCTAGAGACTTCAACGCCTTACTACGATGAACAAGGAGAAGATAAAAACGAAATCGAAGAACAATTTTTATTAGAACCCACAAAAACCAACAACGGCGATCAGTATGTCTTGGTCAATACTCGTCTTGATTATCAGCATCGATCAAAGAATCTTAGTGCAGTGTGTTTATATGATTTCGTCAGCCATTTTCATAAGAAGGTTATCGACAAATCGAATCGTCGTTTACTAAAGAATGTAACCAATTCTCAAGGTCAACAATTACCTACAGAAGGAACGAAAATGAATGAACATCATACATTTGACAGCGCACATCCGCAATCATTATCTCATCTCATAATTAAACGTTCCATTCCAGTAGTACCAGTCCTGATAGGTCCTCAAATACCTCGCCGCGAACGAGAAGAAACGCATGAACGTTATTGTCGCGCATTGTTAACATTATTCGTTCCATGGCGATTAGTTCAGGACCTTTGTGCACTGAATGAGACATGGTCAGAAGCATTGGAAGCTCGAAGATTATTGATCTCTTCCAACTCGCTTAAGATTATAGAAAATATAGAGCTTTTGCACGAATGCAAACACAATCGAGATGAGCACCTTTATCAAGTTCTTTTAGAAGCCCAAAATGAAAACAACATTGACCCTATTTTGATGCCTAACTACTATGAAGGTGATGAAAATGCAGACGAAGATGATCCAGAACAACTTTTGCAAATGCTCTCCATCGTAAATGAGACCACCACAAACGCTTACTCTGCATTGACAGTTACTCAAGAAAAACGCTATGTTCAAGATGCATTAGAAGCAATTGATAATACAGACAGATTTGCACTACTCAATGGTGAGTTAATTACTGTCATATTTCGAAAATATTTAGTTTGATTTAGGCCGTACACGTTGTCCGGGCGAAAATAATTATGGTATCATACACGACGTCCACACATTTGTCGTAGCTCGCGAGCATCATACGACCATGATTAAAGAGTGGAAACGTGATATTGAAGCCCGACGAGACGAAACAAGAAACTATTTAATTTCAGGTGAAGATACTCTGGAAGTACGAGATGATGAAACACAGATTGAAGTCGTAGGTGCTGAAACTCCAACAAGCCCAATTAAAACGAAAGCTATGAGAGTCCTACCTGTAACTGCAACCAATTTGGTTTTATTTCCCAAAAAACAGAATATCGTCAAACAATTTACACTAAATACTCAGCAAAAATATGCTTTCATGATTATAACTAGTCACTTAGATGGCGAAAATCATGCTCACACCGGTATATTTTCTTGATTTTGTTATTGAAAATTTTGAATAGTCTTGATATTTAAATACTATCGATAATCGGTTATTAATGTGCATATCTGGTTGCGGTGGTACTGGAAAATCTCAGTTAACTCGTGCAATTACCAAGTATTTTCAAGTAACCAAGAGGGGCAAGATGTTGCGTAAACTGGCGCCAACGTCTATAGCAGCAGCTGAGATTGACGGATTAACTATCCATTCATTTTTAGGTGAAAGTCGCAAAAACACTAAAAAGAAAAATACCCGTACATTTAGACCTGGAGATACGAAATTGGAAAATCAATGGCATCATGTAAAGTACGTGGTAATCGATGAGACGAGTATGGTAGGACTTAGCCTATTAGCTCGTCTCAATCGAATAGTGAAAACAGCCAAGCACGTCAATTCTGAGATACCTTTTGGTGGTGTCAATGTCATTTTCTTCAGCGACTACCTTCAATATTCTCCTGTTTTGGACAAGCCTCTCTACTATGCCTGCACATCGACACAGAAAGTTAGAAAACGCCAGATAGATATGTTATGTGCACAGAAGCTTATGTCTGAAATAAACTGCGTCGTTGAATTAACTCAGCAAATGCGAACAGAAGACATAAGATATTTGGAGCTTTTAAATCGATTAAGAAATGGGCAATCGTCAATAGAAGATTACCAACTTCTGTGTACGAGAGTCATAGGAAATCCAAAAGTTCAAGTATCTCTACAACAAAAGCCATGGAACGAAGTATGCACACTTATTTTCTCTGTGTATCACATTACTTTTCTTTTAATAAGCTCCAATACTGGTTTTTCGGAATACGCTACGCACTCAAATTAACAATAGGGCTGTCTTAAACAAAACAATGGAAATGGGACTTAGCCCAATTGTATGTATTGCTCAAGATTATATTCAAGGAAAAACTGTGGATGATTCACGATTACGTCAAGCGATACTTGAATTACCTGATAATAAAACAGAACATCTTCCAGGCTATTTACCTCTCGTACCAGGAGTGCCAGTTTTACTCACAGAAAACGTTGCTATTGAGCTCGGACTGTCTAACGGTACACGAGGAATCTTTCGTCAACTTGTATACGATGAATCACCAGAAGATGTTCGATACCAAGATAAGAATTTTCCATTAAATACCAAGTTTATAACGCAACCAAAGTACGCTTTAGCAGAATTTCCTGGTTGCAAACTTGATGACAAACTTCCTGAACTGCAATCCAAGATAGTTCCTATATCTATTAGGGCTGTACCGCTCACGCTCATGAGCGCTCATATGAGCGTGAGCGTTTTTTCGCTGACGCTGATGATCACGTGAGGGGTGGTCGCTCACGTTCATATGAGCGCACATGAGCGTGAGCGGTACAGCCCTACTCATATGAGCGTGCGCGATCATCCCTCACGTGAGCATGAGCGTGAGCGAAAAAGCGCTCGCGCTCATATCAGCGCTCATGAGCGTGAGTGGTACAGCCCTACGCTTATGCTCAAGTGAGGGGTGGTCGCTCACGCTCATATGACTAGTGCTGTACCGCTCACACTCATGTGCGCTCATATGAGCGTGAGCGACCGCCCCTCACGTGAGCATGAGCGTCAGCGAAAAATCGCTCACGCTCATATGAGCGCTCATGAGCGTGAGCGGTACAGCCCTAATATCTATTAGTGAACAAACATTCTTGTTTGATGCCAAGGAACTTCTTCCAGAAAATGTAGCAAAGCGGCTAAAATAAACAAGAAAACAGCAAAACTCACGATCAAACGTAAAGCACTTCCGCTTATACCCGCATACAGCATGACAACACATAAAAGCCAAGGACAAACACTCGGTAAATTTATCGTCGATCTGGTCATGCCTCCTGGCCCACCTGAAGTTGCATCGGTTTATGTTCCATTATCTCGTGTAAAGAGACTTGACGATTTACTTATCATACGTCCATTTGAATTTGCAACACTCCAAGTTAAACCATCAACGGCCCAAATAGCAGAACTTAAACGATTAGATAAAATAGCACAAAATACTCGGAAACACTTTCAATTCATTGTTTAAAACAATAACATTTTAACAGTGCCGTGATCTTCAGAAAAACAATCTAACTCGTAAAAAAACTCTATATTGCATGCTCGAAATCTGTTCATTTCACTTTTCTAGCCCATAGATCATTTGCAAAGCTTGTACCAATTTCTCTTTCAAATAAAAGCTATAAAGTTAAAAAGAGAATGAAAAGAATTTAAAGCATCTTAACGAACTGTATCGATCAGAAGTCATTATCACTGGTGCATTCCACCAGCATCCCAAGCAGTATATGACAGCTATACACTAAAACAGAAGCTAGATACGACACACGTCACATAAGAAAATTTTCCTCAGTAAGGTTTTCAGAGAAGAACAGTAATATCAACGAAATTTTCTTATAAACATAGGTGCTAACACTCGCAACTGCGCTTTGGAGTGATCCCATCGTAACAAACCCAGAAACCAGATCGAGATCCAAACGCAACGGAGCGACCCTCATTTCACTGAATAAACTTCCAGAAACAGCTAGTACAATAACATTAGCTGTCAGACACCACTAAAATTTTCAGAATCTACAGAGGAATACTGGCCTAATATGTTTTCCAACGATACTCAAACATAAACTTTCAGTTTGACACACATACAGCGTGTGTTGGTGTGGGTGTGGGTGGGGTGTGCTTGCGTGGGTGTCGGATGTGGGTGTGAGTGCGAGTGCGGGTGTGCGTGTTGTGGGGTGCGGCGGTATGGGTGTGGGGTGTGCGCATAGGCGTTGGTGTACATATAAATACATTTAATTTAATTCCACATCCACACCAAACAACCTCATACGCACACCCGCACCAACCTGAAAACCTATGATTGGTCCAAATGGCCACTCTAGAAATCTGATTGGCGCATAGGCAGATCGCGAAAACCTATGATTCATCCAAATGCCCACTCTAGAAATGTGATTGGCGGATAGCCAGACTGTGAAAACCTATTATTGGTCCAAATTCCAACACTCGAAATCTGATTGGTGCATAGGTAGACCGTGAAAACCTGTCATTGGTCCAAATTCCAACTCTCCAAATCTGATTGGCTGGAATGCAGACGAAGCGAATATCTGATTGGTCGATGGGCTAGGGACTGTAGACTAATCCAATGGCTGAGGTTAAGTTTTCTTCGAAGATCGATGATGTGATAGGTCAAAAGAACATTTTTTCGTTCTGTGCGAACGAACAAACGAACGAACGAAGTTACGAACATACGAACCTTGCTCGGTGTATGACCCTCCTTTCAGTAGAGGGAACAAACAATATTATCTATTGATGAGAAAAAGTAGTGTCAATAATTCTTTACTACTTACCCTTGATCAAGCGATTAATACCACCAATTCCTTTTCGTTTTTTCTCTGGATCTAGCATTGTATCTTTTAATTCTTGAGCCAATTTTTCTAACCGATATAACATTTTCTTTCATCAATGATTGATGTCTTCGATCTTTTCAATTTCGATACCTGGATATGAAGGATGTTGAGTAAGATCCCACATGACCGACAAGTCTCCATCTCCAATATACCTGTAATATTTTAACAATGAATAAAACATATTTTATTTAGTATTTTTATGTTTGTACATACCGAGTGTACTGAACTTGATACTTTGAAAAGGAACGTTTAAATATGTCTTGAATACCTTTTGATTCCATACCTCCTAGAAAAAAGTTCAACATAGATTTATTTTCAGTTTTTTGATAGAAAAATCCTAACTTACCAGATGAACCATCATAATTTGATTCATAGTCATGATTACTAATAATTTCGTCATATAAATCTGAATCTGTATTTTTCACACTCAATTCACCAATGCATATCACACATTTTTTTGATAAACGTTGAACATCGAATACTTCCGGTGTTGTGTTGCACGATAGAACAGCAGCCACCTCACGGATACTTTTGAAGCCTCGTCTTTGCCATGTTCCATCTCCACTGACAGTTAAGCTTGTTGGATCACCATCGTTCTCATCAACAGCTTCATCTAAAAGATAATAAACATACAATGAAACGAAAAAAAAATCATATTATTGCGTTTTTTTTTACAAAATACATACAAATAGCAGCTTCCATTGATTGATGTTGGAATTTTTTGATACACGGTAATAGAAGTTTTCTATCAATTTCTTCATAGTGATCTTCTTTTACTGGTCGAGGTATATGCATCGCCCCAAATATTTTAGCTACACCAGCACGGCCAATTCCTGCCAAATGTGCACCTAGAAAAGAAGCTATAACGTTATCAGAACCGAACAGGATAAGATAAGAAGTTTTCTGTGATTGAATCAGATATCCACGTACCTAATTGAACACGTATATTGATATCACGATGTTTGGTGTCCGGAATCATCTTAGATGTGTTTATTTGTATTGTATGTTCACATTTTTCGCATGAAAATGCTAATGAACAATATAAACCTAGACATAAAAAGAAAAAGAAAATAAATCATTTTGCTATAACAAGCCGAACGAGACTCCTATCAATACCAAAATGATTTATACATACCTTCTCTCTTACTAATATGCATTTTCCCATTCCATTCTTCTTTACAACCAATACATATAGTATTTCTCATCAATTCTAATAAAAAGCTGTTGTACATAGGTTAGTCAATAAATTCTTGCACTTTCAAATATTTACTCATAGAAAAAACATTTTGCTAATCTTTTTACAGTAAATGTTCGCAGTAATCTCTACGATGTTCAATACAAAGTTTCATCCTTTCAATCCGCTTTTGAAATGTCTTTTGGTATTCTTGAATAGGTATTGAATTGAGCTCCTTGGATAACACTTTAGCGAAACTTGTAACCTCTGGATAAGTACCAAGGCTACGTTTCAGACAGCTGAACAACCAAAAGTCCGAAGGAGCGAGGTCAGATGACTATAGTGGATGAGCCATAACTTTGATTTTCTCCTCTTGAAAATAATTAAGATTGAGCGCAATATCTTGCATATGTGATTTTGCATTTTTATAATGCAAATTTATGCTACTTGTTTTTGGTGATGATTTTTTCTTATGTAAATTTTTGACTAAAATCTCCAAGTACTCATCACGATAGTTTATATGATAACTATGTCTAAGATGGTAGTAACATAATCAATACTAATATGTGAATCATCATTCACCAGGCCCTGGATCGCATCAATATTCTGTTGAGTCATGACGGATAACGAACGACCATTCCGAGGATCATCGTGTACCGACTCCCGTCCACTTAAAAATCGATGAATCCAATGAGTAACTGTACGATATGCAACAGCACCTTGTCAATAAGCAGTAGTTAATTCATCATGAATTTGTGTAGCAGTTAAACCTAATAACTAACGAGTTTTTATATATGAGCATAAAAACAGCTTATCCATGTGAAAACAGAGATATTCAAAAAATTCAATAAAAATTTCCCATAATCGACACTTGTGAAACTTTGTATTGGTATTTTAATACATAATAGATGTCGCTACCAGAATAGGCCAACATGAGGAATAAAACCAATGAGGGTGAAATTTTAGACTGCTGTTGCAAGAACTTTTTGACTACACTATGTAAAGTACTTGATAAAAATCCGTTTCATCACTATCGGCTACTGCATTATTTTTTCGTCTTTCATATGTCATTATTATTTGTTGTGAAGTGCATAAGTTATATAATGTATTATTTGAAGATGATGAGACTGTTGTCAAATTTAATGAATTAATGATGAACAGTTCTTCAACACTATTCGATAATTCAGATGATGATGACGACGATGATGATGAACAAGTTGGAATAGACGAATCTAATTGCTTGAGTTTGGATAACCGGGCTTTACGAGAACGTGCAGCCTTGCTGCTCTTATCGGACTGATGACCTTTTGTACAGTGGCGCAACCAGGAATTTCTTCTCGAGGGGCACCATCATAAAGCAAAAGTGATTTTTTGCTTGTGAAAACGAATAAGTCTGTACCCCCTCCAGTGATTTAAATCTTCCAAGGGGGGGGGGGGGGGGGGGATTGATTCCCCTAATCCCTCCTCTGGTTTCGTCACCGCTTTTGTAGTAGGCATTTTAAGCTTCTTTTAGAAGTAAACTATATCTAGAAATAGATAATTTTATTGACAACTAGTTCTAAAAATAAAAGATCAAAAATGAAAGTCAATGGATAGCAATACATAAAGTACAGCAGAAAATCTACTTTTTGTATTTAGAGGTACGATTGATCAAGAAATTACCAACCAAATTTTTCTTCAAGACCTTTACAATTGCAATAACCATTTTCATTATCAGAGCATTCAGAAAAATTTATACAAGCATCTTGAATAGGCAAAAATTTATAAATGTAATTTTATTTCCTAGATTAGCCAGAAAATTGAGAAAACATGTGTGACATGAAATGACATCTACGTATAGGGAATCATCACCACAATTTAGGCATGATATGTACTATTAACCATATTATGATATATCCACATACAGGCCATCAATAAAGCTTGATAAATAGTGAGAAAATATTAGGTAGATAAGCAGACTTATTTCGAATAGAGGCACGTACTGCATCAAAAAACTGTTTTTCGTTTTTCTCAAAATCGATTTTTTCGAGTTTAGCGTTTACGCGAGGAAGGATTTCTTAATAATGACTCAATAGAGAAGGGTAATTTTTTTTGTTGAGTAGAGGACAGTTAGGGGTAGATCCTCACAGGCTCCGATTTTTGAATTTCTCTTTTGCTGAAATAAAAAACTCAGATATTTCATATTTATTGGCACTTTGAATTTGAACATTTTTCGAAAGAGTATTTTTAAAAATCAAACAAAGGGAAATTCAAAAATCTGAGCCTGTGAGGATCTAGCCCTAAGGTCACTCTACAATTTAAAAACTACCCCGACATGATTAGCTAGTGACCCCATTGTGAAAACCTTCCCCCGTGTAAAGGGTAATGAATTGACTGGAACTTGTGTATATCTCTGAGATTTGGGAGAGATATTTTAACCGTAAGCTATTCTAGTCAAGACTAACATTCTCTGAAAGTTTCGTTGAAATCGGATGAGAAAATAACGAAGTTCGTTTCTGTGGGGGGGGGGGGGGGGGGGGGGGGGGGGAAGGGGCCTTAAGGTGATGAAAACGTACAAAAATACACAAAATAGGAGTGTGAAAATACTGACGAATCTATACGAGTTTTATGAAAACATGTGAAATGATAACTATACGAAACCTTGGATACTTTTGATGTAAATGAGTCAAAAACTATATGTCGCTATTCTACAGAAAGAACGAACATGAACATTATTTATCAAAATAGCTGGAGTTCTGTCGTTGGTTTTTACCAGTGTGATCTGAAATAATTTCATAATATTATCTGTATAATTTATCAACAGTTAAATTAAAGATTTCATCGAGAAAAAGTTAGAATTTTCAAATGAAATTAACAGGACAAAGTTACGAAAAACCTTTGCAACAATCATTTCGATCTATTTGACATATTTTTTTGAAATAGCTTTTGATGTAAATTATTGATAGATGTTCTTAATATTTTCAAAAAATACTTTAACTAATGAAAAATAAAACAGCCATATTTGAGGAGTTTTTGTTTCATCCATTAATAATAAAAAATCTCCAAAAATGATAATAAGATAACCCTTGTTCAAGTCGAAAAACTTCTCTTTCAATTTATTTTTTCTAAAAAACATTCATCTTTTTCCTCTTCTAAATGAAACTCTTAAAAAAAGCACATCTTTCTCTCACCGAAACTAACGCAACAATAAATTCAATTTGTTACTCAATAGCATTTATCATATTCAACACCAATTCATTTTTCATAAAATTCCTACAAAATGAAGCTCAATAGCTTTATATCAAAGCAAATTTAAAAACTGTGCTTTTCTGTTTTGTCTTTTTATTACTCAATTTAAAGTAGATTTTTTTGTGTTAAGCATCAAAAAGCTGAAAAAACATTTACAAGATTTTAACAAACTAACAAAAGAATCAAAAACGTTGCAAATTACATAAAAACAAGAATATATGGCCTCGTTTATTTATTTATAGTTATTTAATATTTATGTTTGTCTACTCCTCTTTTTGCTTTACGTCTATCTTTTATTTCTCTTTTTTTCTTTATCAAAATCACACAAAATCTATACATCCATCTGATGAAGTTCTTAAGGAAGATCGAAACACGTACCATAGTACTCTGAAAAAAATAAAGGAGCTTTGCAGAACTATTTTTGGTTCTGCGGCACCTGCTGAACCATTTTTAGTTCTGTACGGCAGTTGAAAAACCGTAAAGAGTTTTATGGAATCATATTGAACTATAAAAGGTTCTGCCTACTAGCTCAGAACCACAAAGGATTCTGTCATACAATACTAAACCATAGAAGGTTTTTAGTGGAACCATGCTAAACCCAGTAGATTCTGTCGTATGCATGCAGAACGTCAAAGGGTTCTGTCCACAGACCGTGAACCATTGAAAGTTACAGATTCGATTATACGAAACAAAAAAGGTTCTGTCCAACGATCCTAAACGGTAAAGGGTTCTGTCTGTTAAATCCTGAACCATAGAGAGTTCTCTGTCATAGTACATGAACCTATAAGGTTCTGCACTCGATTGCTGAACCATGATAGGTTCTGCCTCCATATGCTGAACTATAAATGATTCTGTCTATTGATTTCTAAACCTTAAAAAGTTCTGAGCGAAATTACATTGAACCGAAAGAGTTCTGCCGATTATGGCTGAAACATACCATGTTTTTCATTCGACGACACTAAATCAGAAAAAGGTTTTGTCCAAGAATGAGGAATTTGAAAAGTTGTTTTCAATAATACTAAATGCGCAAAGATTTTGTTTAATAGTGCTGAAAAAAAAAATACTCATATTCCGCAGAACGTCTCGTTGGTTCACTCAAGATAAGAGGTGCGAAAAACATTTAACAGCAGATATATATGAGGCTTCGCGTTAAGATTTGATTCAAAAACTTCGAAGTAGAACTATCTTTCTCAAGTATGCTGTAGGATAATTGGACAGAACCATTTTCTTAAATATGGTTCAAAATAGATTAGATAGAACCATTCTCTCATCGTTTTTTCTTTCTCTCCTTTCCTCGATCTGTTATTATACATTTTCTAACGGATAAGTCTCCATGATAGAGAACGTTATTTGTTTTTCTTCCCATGAATTACGAAGAGCGAATAAATTTTCGGTCCCCATCTAATCTATTGAAGCTGTTTGCTTATTACTTCTTTTAGATATATATTTCAAAATATCATCATCCTATCGAAATATTTTACCATTTGATCATAATATCCATATCGCGATTATATATATATAGGTATATTAGTTCATTCATTTACGTTTAATCTTATTGTCTGTTTTAGGATCACATTTGAAAAATATATCATTTGATTAAAATATTTTATATTTGATTATCATATCATTATCACGATTATATATATATGTATAGGGATATTAGTTCATTCATTTACGTTCATTCTTATTGTTTGTTTTAGGACCACATTTAAAAAAAATTATTCGATCAAAAGTTTTTAGATTTGATTATAATATCGTTAACTAGATTAAGTATAGGTATCTTACTTCTATGATTTACATTTA